AGTGATTATCAAGTGACCAGGTTCATCTTCTAGGTGCCCTCCATAGGGGCTTCTGCAGAGGAGACCACCCCAAAGCAATCAAGTAAGTTGACAGCCAAACCTTTGTCTCTCCATCATGCCTCTATCCAGAAAATTCACCCAGCACGTTTCCCCGGCCCCATGTTTGCAGACACTCTGCTCCTACCCAGCCATTCTCACCCCTGCTGCTGCCACCCACTGCCCAAGCCTGTGCCCAGTTCCCCTGGCCCCCCAGCAGCTCTCCATGAACTTCCCCTCCCGCCATCACCGGCTCCCAAACAGAGCTGCGCCAGGCAGGGGTGGATGAATGTTTGTGGACACAAACTGAGGAAGTCCACACTGACCAAATTGACCTGCAAGCGTAGGAACATTTCTGCCCTTAAATGGACCTTCTCTCTGTTTTCTTACCCTTGAATTCCACAAGGTCATGTTTTTGAAATTTAAATGCCTTAAAATTCTGCTTGTCTTAAACATTATACTCCACCGAAAGAAGACACGTACCTCCTGTTGCCATTGCTCACCCAACTCTGTCTGAGACAGCGCACCCCGTCTGGCTAGTGTTTGAGGCTGGGGAACAGGACTGGTCCACAGGGGTTCATCACACCATTCCCCCTATATTTCATGAACGCTTGTGTCAGTGACAGGTGTTTTCTAATACACCAATATTTGAAGTGGCTTAGAATCCCCTCGAGAAGTGACTTGTTCAGTTAGAACTATATTCTAATAAATAGAACAGGTCACAGTTAAAGAACAGGCTTTGAAATCAGACAGCCCTAGATTCAAAGCCTGACCCACCATTTACCAGCTGTGTGTCCTTGGACACATCACAAACCCTCTCTGAACAGGAATTCCTGTTCCTCTGACTGTTGGTCTGGTGGTGCTGATAGTGCCCCTGTGGGAGGAAGGCTGGCTGTAAGAATGTAGTGAGACCCCAGGAGGGTGGCACTTGGCACAAGGCCAGCCTCGCCATCACCGAGGCTCAGTATAGCAGAGCTGTTGGCTTTACCCAGAAGAAATCCTTTCCTTCCCCCTGCATCATGCTTTCAGAACATTTCTGAGGTTGATTGAGCTGCATGTCTGTCCCCTCCCTTTTTTCCACTCGGAAGCTCCTCATGGATGGGGATAGTACCTGGTTTATTTCTGCATCCTTAACATCTAGCACATGGTTCAAATCATAGAAAACACTCCATAAGGTCCTTACTGACAGTTTGTATCAAATTATGTGCATATGTGCATGTGCATGTACATGTGTGTGTACATACGTGTGTCTGCATGTGTCTGCACCAGTATGTGTGTATCTACATATGACATTTTTTCTGTCATATGTATGATGGACACTGGACAGCCGGTCAGCTCCAGGCAACTGCAGCCTCAGGTGGTGAGAGGCGTCAGTGAGGGAGGCCTGGAAGACTGTCCCACACGTTAGTCACACCACACACACACTCAAGTTGTGCTCCAGTCAGTGTTCCGGTTCTGATTGGCTCGCTCCCTTGTTCAGCCAACATGTTCAATGAGCGACCCTCTGGGCCAAAGGCCTGCAAACTTAGGGATATGCACAGAGAAGGAGATGGTGACAGCTTTGCCCCCTCTTCTCCTGACCCAGGGAGAACGAGGAGTTGTGAGGAGATGGTCTCCCAAGGGCCATAGGCCTCGGGAAAGAGGCCAGGGGCGCGGAGGCACAGCAAGCCCAGGAAGCTTCTCTGGGGCATGCCTAGGAGCCTCTCAATCCCTGTGAACTTGAGGACTAGCAGGGATGGGCAAACAGAGGCAGCAAGAAAGCATCCTGCAGGGTTCAGGGCATGTGCAAAGGCGTGAAAACTGGAAAGGACTCCACCGCCCAAAGCTCAGGACGTCCACAAGACAGTGCCATGGGGTAACCACAGCACGTGAGGCTGCAGAGACCACAGGCGCCAGATCACCAGGGGCCTTGAATGAGTTCCATTTATTTTTTCCTGAAAGTAGGCTGGGGGCCATTGAAGAAGGGCAAGCAAAGGCACATCGGGGTCCTGTTTGCATTTTCCATCCCTATGTTAGCTTTCCCATAGATTTCCCTTCCTTGGGAATTCCATCCAGGGGAACCTCTCACAGTCAGACTTGGCCCCAAACATCTCTCGCATCTCATCATCTCAAAGCAGAATAGAGCATAGAAATCATCTCATCTACTCCCATCAGTAGAGATGAAGAAAACTTACTCTCAAGGGATATGAGTTAACATCGTCATGAGTTTAAGTGAAATGAAACTCCTGCCTACCCCTCAGCCCTCCTAAGTCCACCTCCACCTGCCACAGGACAGCATCTGGGCTCCAGGAGGCAGGAGGGAGGGGGACCTCAGTTCTGAGGACATGACTCAGAGCAGATCCTTTGCAATGTTGAAAAAATTTACCAGTTTTGAGAGCTGATCCAGTCTGTTCTATGAACATAAGAAAAATTCTAGCTGGTTTTATAGATTTTTCTCATAGTGATTAGAAAGTTAAGCCCTTTTAAATCAGAGATTATTCTTGAGCCTCTGCTATTTAAATTACAACTCCCAAATCTTGAATGATGTAACAGACTAAAGTCCAAATGCTGCCTTTTTAATTCTGTGCATCCCATGGAAGTTATTTAATGTGACAGAAGGCCGTGCAGATTGGCCTGGTAGTGAAATCTTAGAAATGTAGTTTGTGCTGTAATGCTCACCGTATCCTCAATCCTCTAAAAAGTAAACAGGCTGTTTTGTCATGTTTTCTATCCAGGGAATCACAAACAAATCCAAAGAGGTGCGTGCAATCTAGAGGGTACCAAAGGCTGGTGATCTCCCCGGTTAATTCCTTCAAGGGACAACAGTGACCAGGTCATGCAGACTAGCCGGCCCTACACTTAGCAGCCCAGAATTGGCAGGCCAACAACTCACTTATTATTCCTCAAACCATCTCTGCAAGATAAGGAGATTGGATCAACTAAAACGTGGAGCACAGGTTTATTCAGTCAGTCTCTAACTTCAATCAACGTTCTTAACCATGCAGAGGTACAAAGCCCCTTGCTTCTGGGATACCAGATCACCACAGCAAAGATGATGGTGTCTGGAGAATCCCAAACTACATGTCCCCTAATAGTCACTTCCGCTCCACCAGGCAAATCTGTGAAAAGACAGCAGGTCCATTGTTACTGGTGCAATAGATATTAAGTGGTGGATCCCTTCTTCAGAACAGGGATCCTAAAAGGACCAGTGAGCCCAGGACTTGGTGCAGGAGCTCTCCCAGATGCCAGTTCATTGTCACCTCAGGGACCTGCATGTTTATTTCTATTGCACCACAGGCCAGTCTCAGAGAGGCGAGCGCTGACTTAGTTCATATGGACTTCAGGTGGTCCCTGCAGGGAGCTCTTGTCTATCTGAAACTAAGCCTCTGCCTCCTGCATCCCAGGGCCCCAAGAGGTTGGCTCCCTGCACAGGGGCTTGGGATGTGGAAAGCAGAGATACACTAAGATGCTACTAGCCCTGCCTGAGGAGAAATCATGATGGGGTCCCCAGAGAGAGGGGAGGGTTCAGAAAATCACCAATGTTGGATGACAGGTCGACTTGCTTCTGGAGTAGGGAGCTCCTCTGAAAAAGAAGCTAATGGAGAAGTTCTGCTCTTCCCATTTAACAGATCAGCTCAACTGAGACTCAGAGGACATGATCTGCAGAGATCCCAAGGGAAACCGGGGACTTTCCTGAGTAAACCTCAAATCTACCAGTGGAAGCTCAGTCTCCCTACTGTGTCTGTCGGTCACTAGCAAGAGCCTTACGTGCCATGAGGAAGGACAGCTTCTTAGGTGGACACAGGGAAAGAGCAGTTCTCAAAAATCATCTCTGTCCTGGTAAAGTGTTTCAAACACAGTCAGCATAAGGCTCATGGCCAGAGCTAGAAGTAAAAATGAAAGTCCTACTGTAATTTTGCTTTCAGTTGGAAATCAAATCATCTGGAAGATTCGCTCAGTAGAATTAATAATTTATAAGATGCCCTTAGTCAATCCAATATGCCGGGAACCCAGAGTATAGTCTCACTCAAGGTGTGCTCAATGTTACCATTATTTAATATCATTTCTAACAAAGCACCCATTTTCACTATTTGGCTCAGTGAAGGTTTCTGTTCTGTGTTTCGGTGACTCTGCCTGAGCACTGTGGCTTGTGTTTCTGATTTAAGAATAAAATTAAATTTTAAAGAGCAGATATTCAGAAAGTTAGGAGGCAGAAAGCAAGCGTGTGGCACTTCCTGGGCTCTAACTGGGGGTGTGATTGTCAGATGCTGGGAAGGCTGATGTGGGACTTAAAACACCATCTGCCCTGGGATGTCCCGAGAGGTAAACTGAACCCTAAGTTTCTACATCACCTGCTGCTGAGCCTTCTCCTTCCTGGGGATGAAAAAAAAAAAAAAAAAAAAAACTAAGCATATCAGCTAACTCAGAAGCAGGACCTAGGGGTGAGCCCTGTGAGACATTTGATAAGCCCAGCTTAACAATCTGCATCTTCTCTCCAGAAAAAAAAAAAAAAAGTCCTGTTATAATTGACTTTTAAAATGAATACCACACATACAGTGGTTGCTCCTAGCCAGGGGTCCACACAAACCCATGACAAGCCACAATCTTTTCTGGGAAAAAAAAAAAAATTCTTGGCTGTACCAGGCTGAAATTTTTGCCTTATATGAAATAGGGTCTTGGAAAGAAAGAGCCAATATCATAAAGTTTTCAAATTTGAAAAACAGGGTAATTCCATAAATGAAGAAAGATACCTTTTCAAAAAAAAAATATTATGACAGAAGTAAGAGAGAGAGAGAGAGAACAAATCAGAAAACGTTTTCTGCTTAAATATTCAAAGGTAGAATATGACATATAAAACAGAAATTTCCAATTTGAAAAAAAGTAACATATACTTGGAAATGTCCTTGTTTTCTTACTTGTATACCTGAATGTTCTAGTTTTTTAAATGCATTTAACAAATGCAACACAGCTCATTCAGGGTTGATTTGAGTTCACAAAATAATTTTATTAGATGTAAGAAAGCATACAGGCAGCAAAATGAAGGAAACACTCACAGTACAGAAGTCACAGACCCGATGCGGGAGGGTTTTCAGCAGATGTCTGTCCTTTGTACCAATGTCATCTCCGTATATGTCAACTGCTTATCAGGAGAAGACTGTAAACATTTCCACATCCCCATTGGGACCCCCACACTAGCCAGGAAGGGAGCAGCCGGGGAGGCTGTGGCGATGCTTTCCACAGTCCAGGTGTGACAGGATCCCCAGGCTCAGAGAAAGGAACAGCGTTTGGGAGCAGGGCCGCTGTGGCTTAGGGGCACTTAACACGGAGAATGAGGCACTGCTCCTTAATTAGGACACCATTAACATTTAAAGACCTTTAAAAAAAAATGGGTCCTCCACTCAGATCAAAGCACACAAAGGGAGGAGCCCGACTGAGCAGTTGGGTTTGAGCTGGGAAGGTGAAGACACAGGGTTCCAGCTGGGTCCATCGGTGGGGCGGCTGTGACACAGAACCCAGCAAACTGTCCTCCTGCATCTTTCTACCTGGGACAGCCATTTGGCTCAGAAAAGCTCTGAGACACGCAAGCAGAGCAGTGAGAGGAGCCCAGAAGCCAGCTATTTTACATAAATACAAAGCCTCCTGCACCTCCCAGCCGCCTAAGAGGTACCCGGAGGGCTGAGCTGGCCCCTCGGAACTGCAATCGCTCCTGGGACCAGCCTTGGCCGCGTTTGAAACACACGAGTAGCTATGCTTTTTTAAAAAATTTTCACAATCTTTTTAGACTAAAAAATAGCCTTCACAGCATTTGTCCTTCTCACCTTGGATTTACTCAAGTCCCTGCATCCTAAGGGACCATCGCAGCTTCAGGTCCTGCCAGTCTGCGCTGGTTCCAGAAGTTGCTCATGAGCCTGTGCAACCTCACTCTGTGTTTGCTTCATTGGTTTATAAAGTGCTAGTTCAATGGACAGTTCAAGCTCAGATAACTCGAGTGTATCCTATTAAATATGATAAATATAGATTTATTATGATAGATTCAAAATATCCATATAATACAATAAATAAATAAAACCAATATCAACAAAACATCTCTCCGTTCTGAAAAAAAAAAAAAAGCATTGTCATTCCTACTGTAAGGCTCGGTTATTTTTTAGAAATGATTGATGAAGGCATGCACCTACCTTTACAATCTGAAAACTTTGCTTGGAACAGTTTTAGCACCTGTTTGTATACAGCAAACTCAACCCTTCGGAAAGCTTTGATTTTAATGAAGCTGTTCATTGCTGATTCTTTGCCCTATTTTTAAAATCCTAAGATAAGTTTCAAAAATGATTCTGAAGCCAAAGACATGTCCCTGTTGGCTCCCATGTATCCCTGTTTGATGGGCAATGAAAAACACGGAAAATACAGTGGGATGTATTTGAAAATAAACTTGGTTGTCTGTTCAAAAGGGCAGAGGTCCCCCTGACGTCTCAGTCCCACCAGACCTTAGCAGCAACCCCAAAAAAATCTCCTCCAGCTCTCAGATTGCCTGCGTGTGGCTGGGCTCACCCAGGAGCTCAGGTTGGATGCTGTCCATTGTGTGTGGTGGGCTGGATCTTCTCTAGAGAGACATCAGTGTCATAATCCAATATGACTGACAGGGCTGGGGACAGCCTGTCCAGTGGTTTTGCTATTCCGCCTGCCTCCTCCTTCTTCAGGTCCTCAGAGGACCCCACAGCATGCGGGATCAGGTAAACCAGATTGCACTCCTTGGAGATGGAGCCTCGGGGTTCATGATGACTAGAAAGCACCACGGCCCCGTTGTTATTGATGCTAACTGTCTCTATGGCATTACCCGTTGTAGGGCACAGTCTGTAGCATCCTAAGAGAGTAGAGAATGCCTTCTGAAAATCAGCATTAAAGGCATAAATGATGGGGTTCAGGGAGGAATTAGCCCACCCAAACCACACGAACACATCAAAGGTGATGGAATCGATGCAGAAGGGCTGGGTCTCCTCAGACCCACAGAAGGGCACCATGCAATTTGAGATGAAGAAGGGGAGCCAGCAGCAGACGAACACCCCCATGATCACGGACAGGGTCTTCAGGACCTTAGTCTCTCTCTTGAAGGACATCTTAAAGGAGCTTTCTGATTGAGAACACTCGACAGGCTTCCCATTCCCCGTGGTGGTCTGGCAGTTCTTGGCGTGGACCGCTGCCCTCTCCAAGGCTGAGATGCGCCGTATTTGTTTCTGGGCGATCCTGTAGATACTGGTGTAGGTGACAATCATGATGGCCACCGGGATGTAAAAGCTTATCAGGGAGGATGAAATGGCATATGTCCTACTCAATCTGGTGTCACAGTTGTCCTCGGTCTCTTCCAGGAAGGTGGCATTGCCATCGGAGGGGCTTATGGGCTTGGCCTTGTGCCAGCTGAGCTGCACGGGGATGAAGGAGATGAGGACAGACAGAGTCCACGCCACACTGATCAGAATGAAGGCTGCCTTGGGAGTCATCTTCCTCTCGTACTGGAAGGGGCTGGAGATGGCCCAGTACCTGTCCACACTGATCACACACAGGTTGAGGATGGAGGCAGTGGAGCACATGATGTCAAAGGCCACCCAAATGTTACAGAAGGACCCAAAGGGCCAGAAGCCAGCAATCTCAGCCACAGCTTTCCAGGGCATCACTAAGACAGCCACTAAGAGGTCTGACACAGCTAGGGAGATGACGAAAAAGTTGGTCACCTTGGATCGCAGGTGTCGGAACCTGATGACAGCAGCACAGACCAGAGTGTTTCCCAAGAGAGTGGACAGGATGAGCAGTGACAGGAAGCAGGCTGTGAGGATACGGAAGGAGAAGTCCCTCTCCACCGCCAGCCCGGCACTATCCATGGTGGAAGTGTTCAGAGCCATCTTCCAGAAGGAGAGAGCCTCAGGGCTCCGACACCCCTCCAGTTCTTAAGCAGGGATGAGGGTCGGTCAGACCCCACTATTCCACTCACCAGTGGCTCCCCTGGCAGAGAACCTCACCAGCATTCCATCAGAGAGGGGCAGCAGGAGCTTCAGGGGGAGTCCAGGGCAGCCCCCTGTCCCTTCCCGCTGTTCCCTTAGCTGTCTTCTGACTCCTTCACTTCAGGTCACAGTCACCACCACCACCAGTTGGCCCCTAAATTCCCCAAGGAAAATGGCTTTTTAGCACATATTCTAAGTCATCCACCCTGAGACTCCCAGGCCTCTGCTGTGCCAGTCAATTGCAGTCACAGTTCCGGGTTGCAGCCTCTCTGGTGGGGACAGAGAATTCTCCTCTTTTGAGACGCAGATAAAAATACATGTCTTGTTCCTCCAAGCCCCTCTCTCTCCTCCGCAGCTCTCTAAACGCCCTAAAAAGCAAAGGAAAAACACAGTCGTTCTCCAAGACTTCAGCAGATCGCATCTTTGCTCACTGTCAAACCCAATCCAGTCATTAGCTGGGCGACCCTGTCAAAGCCACCTACCTTGCCTTGGATCCTCTCTCTCAAAGCCCTCGGAGCTTGGAAAGTGGACTTCGCAAGGCGCCTTGACTCCACAAAGCCCAGGAAGCGCGCCAGAGTCCGACCAGCCGCGCGCAGCGGGAGTTCGGCTCCAGCTGCGCAAAGATTGCCGGGGCGGGTCCGTGAAACGGACCTTGGGCCAGGCCCCAGGAGGGGAGGCGCCGCCCCGCTGCCAGAAGCCGCTAGAGACGGTTCCAAGCGACTGGAACCAGGAAAAGGTCTACAGGTTCCTGAAGCTTCCCTGGGAGAGGGCACCCCCAGGACTAGTCCCTGGGGCAGTTTTGCTCCCTCCCTCCTGCAGCCCAGAGCCTGGGCGCCCTGGGGCGGCCTTCACCCCCTCGGGCAGGACCCTGAGCCTCCTTACAGCGCTGCCCACTGCCTCTCAAGAGGCTGTGGGAACGCGAGGCACAGAGAGCCGAGCTGGCACGGGCAGGCACTCAGTCCGGCTAGGTTCCCACGGGGCACAGCCCTCCCGGCCCCCGCGTTCCCTCCCCTGCCCTAGGGGCGGGCTGCGCTTGACAGGCAGAGTTGGGTGACAGCCACACGTGGTTCCCCTGGATGATGCTGCTGCGAAGGGGGTGGGTGACGCCCAGGTGAGCGCTTGCGCTCACTGGTTACCTGACCAGTTCCTGGACCCCTGGACTGTACGCAGCAAGGCCCTCGGGACAAATCCCAACATTAAAACCTCAAGTAACCCTAAGTCGTACGCAAAGCTTGGCCTGACGTCCCACGCCTCTATGGGTCAACCTCAAACTCGACCCAAAACCCCGAGCCAGAGCCTGTCCGCTTCCCCCACGCACGCCAAACACAACCACAGGCGCGCTGGTTCCCCCAGCCGCGTCCCAGCGCCCCGACCAAGCCTGCGACCTGTCGGGGAGGCGCGGGTACTCACCGCGGTCTGGAAGCGCGGCGCTCCGGCGGTGCCGCTGCGCCCGGAGGGCGCTGGCTTCGCGCGAGAGCCCAGTGGCCCGCGCATCCCAGGCTGCGGTCAACGCCGGTCTGCAGACGGTGCCCGGTGGCCCGCGAGCGCCCAACCCGAGCGCCACGCGCTCCACTGCGTGGGCCCGGGGCGCCCTCTGCCGGCGCCTGCGGCCTTCCGATCCCGCAGTACCTCCGGGTCTCGACCTCCCTCGCCGCGGCCTGGAATCTGCAAAGGACCAGCGCCTCCTTCTGTTCCTCCTGGGCGGTTACTGCCTGAAAACCTGGGCAAGGAGAGGCGCCGTCTCCCCCACTCGGTACTGCTCTGCTTGAAATACCCCTAAAAGCCGATAAGGACGGGAAGTTCCTTTGGCTGGTTCGCCATTCGTGAACAGGTGTCCTCCCGTGTCCGGGTAAGCTAGCAGCAAGCCTGACTCTCAGAGAGAAGAGACAGGCGTTTGCTGAGCAGCCTGTGTCCCAGACACCGTCCTGATGACGTTCGTTCGGTTCTGTACCACAATCCCTGCACCTAGGACCGCTCAGCTCCGCTTGGCGGGGTAGGAGAGGGTGCTCGGGAAGGTGCAGGCGTCAGGCCAGGGCAATTTCCAAAGCTAAGGAGGCGCCCAGCCTGTGGCCTGGCCGCTGCCTGAGTGTTCTTTCAAATTAACTGAGTCTAGAACCAGAAGCCACGAACTAATAACTACCTAATGCAGTAGACAGAGCAAGAAGCGGAAGGCCTGGCAGAGCTCCCAGGATCCCTTGTCACCCCCCAGCAGTGCCTCACAGGTCAAGATTTGCACTAGTTGTGCAAAAATGGAGACATCATGGTGCCTCCCTGTGTTCACATAACCGTGTGAAGGGAATAAGCCTGGAGATGGGAATTCACGCTGCCTAGATTTTTGTCTCTATGATATAACAGGGTGATTACAAGTCTTAAATGAGATGCTGGTTGCAGAAAGCATGGGGACAAATCTGGGATCTAGTCAGCCCCTCCTGGGCAAGGAACTTCCAAGAATCCTAAAATAGACGTGAGTATGTATGCTCTCACCTCCATGATCACCACACACAACAGGATTTTCTCTGTAAGAACCTTGGACCTAGAAGATAATTCTACCTAATGAATCTGTACCCACTACCTCTTGGTTTTAGATGAGGGACCACATGAGTGACAGACTCCTTTGCCTGTGCTTATCACTTTGTCCTGCTTCCAACAGCCTTAGTGTCACATGCAGGGCCCCAGACATAAGCACATGGAATTTTTTCCATATACATGCCCCAAGAACCACATTCCTTAAGTGTGTATAATGGGACCCTTCCAGATCATTTAGTTAAGGCAGGCCTTCTCCAGGCTTCTTTATGCTTTATTTCATCTCTCTTTCCTTTTTAGGAATAAACACATATTAAAGGATGTTTCTAGTTCAAGGCATGTGAGCCCAAGTATGTAGCTCCCCACATTCTCCCCATCCTGAAGTTTCTACTACCATTGCCTAGAAATAAGCAGGGGGGAGGGAGTAGATTCAGCACCTTGGAAAGCTGGGAATTTGGGGATAAAAGACAGCAGACAGGAAAGGGCTGGGGCTCCCTTACTTATTCCATGTGGAGAGGGAAAGCTTCTCAGGGCCCAGGGGCAGAAACCCCCAAAGAACAGGCTACCCACCCCTAGATCAGGGCAGCAGGGTCTGCAGGGCAGGATGAGACCAAGTTGAGGGGTGAATGTTCTGTGTAATGGCAGTCCTTGAGAATTGCCCCCGCCCCCCCGCCCCGGGACAAAGACCCTGCAACACCCCCGATACTCTACCCACTAGAGCCAGGACAACCACAGAGAGACTGAGTCTCCAGGGGCATTGGACTCCACAGCACCAGCTCAACAGGCAGAATATACCTGCTATAAAGCCATCATTATTGACCAAAATCTTGCAGAAAGGAAATGCCATTCATAACACACTTCATGTCTGCGTCTCTCTTAAGCTGGGCAGCATCTCAAAAGAAATTCTCTTTCATTGCTGGAAAAATCCTTGACATTCTTTCAAACTAGCTTATGCCAATCTTTGCCTTTTTCCCTCACCCGACAGGCCCAGGTAATCAGATCAACAATGCCATTTGTGTAGTGGATGAGACATACTTCCAACCTCAAGAAAATTTGTCATTTTTAATGTCAGAATATCAAATCTCCTCTTTAGCTTTAGCCTACAAGAAAGACCCAGAAAGCCAGGCAGCAAATAGAAACTTGTGAACGCAAAGAGAGGCTGGGGGAGATCCAGGAGAAGAAGAGCGTTGGACTATTTCTCTACATTTCTATAATTCAAAGACAGACACCTGAGATTCCTTTCTGCCAGACGTAGGTCCCTGGCCTTTGAATATAATACTGGAGGGAGGAGGAAAAAGTAAAATGCAGCTAAAATTTCAGGGTTTCTATAAGGTCTTTGCTTAGCATCTGGATGGCCATCTTAAGTGACAGCCGCCATTTTAAGGGAAAAGTTTCGCTTTCCCGCCCAAGGACATTTCTGAGAAAGGCTCACCATGCCCTCATACCAACCCCACCCTTAACTGCCCACATTAGGACCTGCCCAGCTCTAATTCCTAAAAGTCCCAGAAGTAAAGCCTGTGTTGCCTCTCTCTCCTATAGAGAGATGGCCTTAATTGTCAGCTCTGACAAATAAACTCTTAGGTAGGTCTTCCTGGTCTCCATCTTTCACTTCTCGCTCTCCCATCTCTCATTTCTCATTTTCCCTTCACTTTCACTTTGCACAGAGAGTGAATTTCAGAGGAACTCACAGTTTGGCTAGAGATTTGGAGGTTTTTCCAATTTGTCTCCCTTGAAGCAAGGTAAAACACAAACCTTTCATTTCATTCTGTAAAAGTCTCCCCACAAAGCCTCAAGCTCAGGACTCTTAAATGCAGGCAGGTATTAGCATCAGCTCTCCCCAGGAGCAAGGACCCACACAAAGCACCTTTGTTCCTGGGATTGGCATGTCTTTTGAGCTCTGCCTGGTGATTTATGCACCACGGGGGTGGGGGGTTAAAAGGCTGCTTTTCAACAGATTTTTATTCAAGGTTTGTAAAAGTCAATGGATACAGAAGGCACACTATCCAAGGGGGAGCTCAATCTCACAAAAGAATAAATAAAACAGCGGAGCTGTCAAGTGTCTCAGATGATCTTTGTAGGTGGGTTCAGGATTTTTAAAGCTGACTTCAAGCCCAAAATGACTGCTTATGGTGTTGGTGAAAAGAAGCGCTGGGCTCGCCCGGAGTAACTAACAGAACCACAATGCTTCAGAGGATGAATGTAAGTTGTTCTCCAAAATTCCCAATCCTGTGTCCTGTTTTCCTCTCCTATAGTTATTATTGCCATTCAAAAATCAACACCTAGGTTGTTTAAAGCCATCCAAAAATCAACACCTCAGCTGGCAGCAGTGGTGGAGAGATAGCGGCCTGTGCCACGTGTCTCCCATTGTGACATCTTCCTGTCCTCACGTTTTTTCCTGCCCCCCCTTCTATAAAAGTGACTGAGTAGGGTTTGGTTTTGTTTTCTTCTGCTTTTTGGTTTGGGGCAATGCTGGGACCAACCCAAGGCCACTTGCTTGCTAGGCAACCAGTGAGCTGCCCCCTGCCTCTAAGTAGTTTTTAAACTGTTTTGTTTTCTCCCCTATTGGCTTATTTTCTGTGATTCTTGGTTATATTCATAGTTGCTGTAGAGTTTTGTTGTGACTTGGATCTGGAATGTCCCCTGAAAGCTACTGAAGACTTGGTCCCCAATGCAGCAGTGTTGAGAGGCGGGGCTTGGGGGAAATGATTGGACGGTGAAGGCTCTGACCTCATCAGTGGGCGAGTCCATTTGATGGATCAGTAATTTGAATGTCCTCCTGGGAGGAGGTGCAAACTATGGGAAGCCCACTGTGGTTGGAGGAAGTAGGTTACTGGAGGGAGGGCCTTGGGGACTACCTCTTGTCCCTGGCACCCACCTGTCTCTCCCCACTACCCCTAACCACCAGGAGGTGGGCAGCTCTGCTCCGCCACAGGCTCTCTACCATGACATTCTGCCTCACCACAGGCCCAGAAATGAGGGAGCCAAGTGACCACAGACTGAAGCTTCTAAAACTGTAAGCTAAAAGAACACTTTCTTCCTTCTAAGTTGATTTTCTCAGGTATCTTGTCACAGTGACAGAAAACTGACTCATAGAATTAAATATGCAGATATCTACCTTCAAGTGATAGGATACCATTTCATGAGTAGTTAAGAATGTTACAAGGGCATTCTTTTATGTCCTTTAAAGCAGTTAATTATTTTTAAAGAAATCTAAGGAAGGAGAAATAAATATATATTTCTCATGTACTATCTCTGTCGTTCTTCCTTCTTTGCCATAGGTCCAAGTTTCCATCTGACATCATCCACTTCAAGGACTACCATCAACGTTTCTTGGAATTCCTTCTTCTGGGGACTGATTTTTTCAACTTTTATGTCTCTGAAGTTCTTCGCTGAGCCTTCACTTTTTTAAAGCTGGGTCTTCCAGGTGT